CCAGATACAGAAGATCTGATCGTGATGGGTGACTGAAACACAATTTTCAATCGTGGTCTCGATTCCCTAGTAAACTCCCCACTTAGAAATGATTCAATAATTCTCCCCTCATTCAAAGAGTCTCAAAGTTTGATGGATGTGTTTAGGGAATTGAACCCTATGGACCCTGGGTTCACTTGGTATGGTCCAAGGCCGAGACCTCCCTCCTCTCAACCAAGGAAAAGGTTAGATTTTATCTTGGCCAGAGGGGCCCTATGGGACAGATGCATATGGTCAGATTGGAAAGTATCCACATCATGCTCTGACCTCTACCCAGTCCTAATGGACGTCTTCACAAGCGATTTTATTGAAAAACATAGACCCCCGTTTAGATTAAACGTGAATAATCTACAGGACGTGGGCATAACAAATTGGATAAATTATCAAATGGAATCTTGGATGAAAGCCAAAGACCTCTTCCTGGGGAATAAAGATAATTGGGCAGTGGTGGGCCTAGGGATAATAAGAGCCGCCCTCATGGTGTTTTCAAGAATGAAGGCATCTAACCGAAAATAAAATGAAAAAAATGGTGCAAGACCAGATAAGAGAGGCGGAAGCCAAAATGGGAAAGGATTCTTTTGAGGACTACTATTGGGGAGAAAAAATAAAGGAACTTCTCCTCCAATTGGAAGCCTCGATTCGAGAAGGCAGGCGGAATGGTTGGAATGGTTAAAGCTTAGGGGAGTGGTCGGCTATGACAAGATGTCTAAGTTGACCTATAGATCTCTTTTGCTTAGACAAACGAAACCCCTCCTGGTGGGTTTTTCCCACCCTTTTTCATTAACAGCACCTAAAGCAACGGACACAGCATCAATGTGTTCATATGCTGTGGAATACTTCAAAGATATAGTAACAACGAGGTGACCTTTTGACACATTAGACACAAACCTTGCGGAAACATCGGACTTTTGGGATCGGACAAAAGTAAGACTAACTTTCTAACAGGTACAGACTATGGACATGTCATTTACTGAGTTAGAATTAAAAGAAGCAGTGCTTCATATGGCTAAGGGCAAATGCCCAGGCATAGACGGCCTCCCGGTGGAGCTGTTCCAACAATGTTGGGGCGCCTTTGCCCCCTTTCTATGCCAACTTTATAATAGAGTCCTCCAAACAGGCTTCTTTCCGAAGGGGTTTGCCAAAGGAGTGATCTCACTATTATACAAAAAAGGGGACAAAGCGAAAGTAAGAAATTATCGACCCATATCAGTTTTAAACGTGGTGTATAAAATCTTGGCTAAAGCCCAGGCAATTCGCCTGGCTGAGATTCTTCCAGGGCTAGTCGGGGGGGAGCAAGGAACTTTCGTAAAAGGTCGGTCTATCTTTGATAATATTCTGACTACTATGCAAGCACTGGAAGTGATAGGCAAGGAAGAAAGGAATGTGGCAGTTTTGATGCTTGATATTGAAAAGGCATATGACAAAGTGGGCTGGACCTTTGTACTTACAACTTTAAAAAAAATGGGGTTTGGTCCAGCCTTTATCAGATCTGTCACGTTAATGTATTCCCAAGTATCCTCAGCGGTAATGGTTAATGAGAAATTATCTGAGGACTTCCTCCTAACCCGTTTCCTACGCCAAGGTTGCCCTCTGGCACCACTTCTTTTTGTCCTACAGCTGGAAGTACTGCTAGATAATATAAGATATAATGTGAGGATACAGGGCCTGCAAGTTTTCCCCTCGCTACATTGGAAAGGGGGTACCCTAGCCGACGACCTTACCTTGGCTTGTGAAAACTCTCTAAAATCAATGACTGAGACAAGGGATGTTTTGGATAAATATTGTGCGTTGTCGGAGGCTTCCATTAACTGGGATAAATCAGTGTTTTTCCTCCCTTCCAAGTTTGTGATACGTGTAAATTGGGGACTACGACAAATCCCCACAGAGTCGTCTGACCGCTTTTTGGGAGTACAAATTTCTTTGTCAGACTGTGCAGCAACTCAAGACAACATCCTGGTGGAAAAGGTAATAGCGAGGATAGCAGGATGGATTAGATCTCACAAACTTTCCCTGTTTGGGAGGGCTTTGGTGCTATCCGCAGCATCCTTTTCATTGTGGTTCCCGCCTACAGTTCATCTTTTGGGGGAGGAGGCTTACAGGAAGATCAAAGCTCAGGCGGCAAGGTATTTATGGAAACCTGACGCCTCGGAATCGCAGAATTTTCTATCCAAGATTGTTTGGGAGGCAGTGGCTCAGCCCAGAGAAGAGGGCGACCTGGGTATTTTAGATCCGCTTCAACAAAATGTTGCTCTACTAAACAAATGGGTGAACTTGACAGTCTTTGATGGAGAAGGTAAGGTCTGGGTAAAATTTGCTGAGTATATCCTTGGGAACGAATGATCTCTTATTTCTGAGTCAGATGTATGGAGGGTGCTAATGCTCAGGGCATATGTAATCAAGAAGCCAAAATCTAAAGTGTGGGTGGCGATCTTGGCAGCTTGGAAGCATGTGCGGCCAGTCAATCTCAGACAACCGGAGACCCGTATAGAAGTACTAAATCAATATCTTTTTGAGAATCCTAGGATCTTACAAACGAATGGGGTCCCTTTCCAGCTGTCAGAGGGAGATTTTGGGAAGGGTTGGGTTAAAAAGGGCATTATGCAAATTAAAGATATATGGGATGCTGATTTGGATGAGTGGTTATCCTCAGCAGAACTTAGGGTAAGATTGCCTAGATTGCGAAATGTGGATTTTAACTTCTCTTCTATTAAGCAGGCGATCCCTTCATACTGGAAGGGTCTGCTGAATGACTCTACAGAGCACGGGGCGGGAACGTGGCTTCTACATCCAACAGATACAAATCCTCAGCGAGTGATGAGGGTCGTCGGACTGGAGCTGGGAGGAGGGATGAAGGTTAAGATCTGGTCAACAAGAACAGGGCTTAATGGGGAGAGAGTACTGGAAACTGAGTCGGAGGAGGTAGTGCAGACAACGGTAGGTCTATCGGAGGTCAGGTGTTTGATCAGGGCAGTGGAATGTCACATCAGTTCGTGCTACTCAAAAAAGAAGCCAAGGATTACAAAGTTGAACCTTTACTACTGGGTTGGAAGGGCCCCTCTGACAAAGGCAATATTCCGTTGTATAGATATAAGCCCAAGATTGGAGTGGCCGTCCAGAGACAGACAGTGAAAAAGAAACCAAGTGAAATGGCGTTAAAGAGGTTTAATAAACAGATAAGTACTCAGGACCAGCAGCCTGATTTTAAGGTCATTTGGAGGGTCTTGAAGAGACTACCCTCACAAAGGCACGCTGGTATAATGTGGCTACAGGCAATGCAGGCTACAACATTTGCGGTGTGGTTGGAGGGAAAAGGGATGGCTTTGGATATTGACTGTCGGAGGTGTGACTGGGGTTGGGAAACCAGCACTCACCTGTGGCTCCATTGCCCATTAGCTGAGGAACTTTGGCGCTGGTGGAGAGGTCACTGGCAGAATATCGTGGGCTCAGAATGGGAATGGACGAATGATTGGATCCTACACGTGATTGCACCACAAAAGTCTAACTTTATGACAGGAGTTGGATATGTAGCCTTTGTCTGCAGGGGAACTCTTATGAGCATAATTTGGAAAGCTCGAAATGCTAGAGTCTTCAGGGACGAAAAAATGCCTCTGCAGCAACAAATAATCCTGGTAAAGGAACACATCCGCCTGCCCATCCTCTCAGACTAGAGGGTTGCTAGGAGCAGGAGGGGACGTATTTCAAGATTCCACCGAACATGGGCAAAAGGCAAAATTTGGGCATCAGTCTCGACAGAGGGACATTTGGAAGTTTCAAAGTGGTTACATCCAGGTAGCAAAGTTTTAAGACCGAGTTGGGTTGGTCGTTGGTTAGACCAAGGAATAAAATGGGCAAGATGGGAGAAATAATTTTTATCCTACTAAAGAGGCCTGAAAATCAGTTGAGTGACTATATCAAACTTGATAGGAGATCCAAGAATTTGGCTGAGAGCTTGGGGATTTTCAAGAGGTTTTATTTTATTCTGCTCTCTGTAGCCACCTTTTTACAATGCTTTAACGATCATTTCTGGGTACTTTACAAAGGGCTAGGAGCAGTCAAGGGACGCTGGACCCGGTTTCCAGCAGGTGTTCTCTTGTCCACTCCGGGTTGAATTGTGAGGTCCCCTACCTCAACATAATTTTTGATTGGCAATAAACGGTTACATCTTCTCGGGAAAAAAAAATTAAAAAAAATCCTGACAGCTCTCGAATATTTTCGAGATTCGAGAGTGGTGTGGCGAGGCCCTCTGACAACTCTATGCGCACTCGTGATTTTTTTCACGAGTCATGAGTGGTGCAGCGAGACCCCAAGAGTGGTGTGGCGAGGCCACAAAAGGCGAAAGAATGGGTTTCGCTCCACTACTCTAGACTCAATAACATTTTCTAGAGTAGGTATAGAGTTGTCAGTGTCTAGAGTAGCGCGAATTGAGTGTGATCGCTCCACTCACTCGAGACCGCCGTACTCAAGAAAAAAAATATTTCCAGTAATGAGCGGGCGGGCCATTTTCTTGAGTGTAGTGGAGCGATGTCTGCGCTCCATAAAATCGGGCGTGGCACCGGTTCCGCGGGTACCAAGGATGACCAAGCCCGGCGGGGGTCGCGCAGAAGGATCGGTATGTTCCCCGGGAGGGAGGGGGGGGGGGGGGGGGGGGGCAGCGTTCTGGGAATAAAATCAGGCGCCCGACGTCCGATTGGGCACATCACGCAGCGGCAATGCGTTTTCTTGCGCCCTGGTGTGGATCCGCGCGGACCGGCGCGGGGTCTCATGCCTGTACCGGGTGGGAAATGGTGTGGCATGAAGCGCGCGTTGCACGATCGCCCAATCGTACGGTGGTTGGTGGACCCGTTGTTTCTGGTGTGGCCCTCGGTGGTCCATGGCCGCGCGTTCCCCCGCGCACATGCACCACTACGCAGTTGCTTGTATGTGGTGGCGCATTGTTCGCTGCACGCCATTATAGGCACTTGGCCGATTATGGCAGCCCTGTCGGGGTGCACGGCACTGGCAATTTAGCCGGCTTTCTATTGGTCATCATCATGGCGGTCGGGGTGCTTCTGCGGGCAGCGCCGCGATGGTGGGTGAAGCCAAGGGCCGGTGGTGCTTGGAGATACATGACGTGGGGTGACAATGCTCACGCGGATTATTTCCACGACAACATACGGATGGGGGAGGATGTGTTCCGCGGCATTGTTGCCAACGTGCGGCCTCATCTGCATTGCAGTTTGTGGACAAGATACCGTGCACCGACACCTCCTGAACAGCTCGTTGCTTACGCCCTGTACCGTTGGGCTAGTGGAGAGTCGTTTGAGCACTCGGCGACTTCCTTCAAGCTCGGACGGGAGACCGGTCGTGTTGCCGTCCAGGATGTCGCCGCTGCCATTGTTCGTGCTTATCCCGACGAGGTGTCCTTCCCGACCGGCCATCGACTGGTCGATGCAATGGAGAAGTTCCAGGCAAAGGGCTTCCCCCGGTGTTACGGTGCGATCGACTGCACGCACGTCTACATAGACAAGCCGGCGGGGAGAATGGCGGCTCCTTACTGTGATCGGCATAAGAGATTCACTGTTGTCGCCCAAGTTGTCACCGGTTCCGACCTCATGGTTTACGACGTGGTCGTCGGGTGGCCTGGTTCCGTTCATGATTCACGCGTACTGCATCACTCTTCTTTGTTCCGGCGCGCAGACTCACGCGCTCTATTCCGAGCGGATCCGTTGGTGCTCCCGGGCGGTGTTACAACGAGAGGCTATCTACTAGGTGACAATGGCTATCCGAGTCTACCCTGGCTTGTCACGCCATACGGGGGCCAGCAAGTTCCAGGAACGGACCACGATCTGTTTGACAGCCAGCAGAAGGCCGCGAGGGGGTGCGTCGAACGTGCATTCGGGCGGTTGAAATGTATGTGGCGCATGTTCCTTCGAACGCATAAGCCGAACATACGCCTGTTGTTGCTACAATTCCATGCAGTGTGTGTGATCCCTAATTTGCTGATTCGCGTCGGTGTGGAGATGGATCCAGAGCTGGAGGAGCGTCCGGAAGAGGATGAGGACGTTCTGTGGGAGGGTGTGGACCCGGTGCCACCCCCGACCGAGGAGTTGACAGTTCGAGGAGCTCGAGTTGCAGGCCAACGATTCAGGGATGCTTTGCGTCCAGTGGTGGCTCAATTCGTTCGCGCGGAACGCGCTCGCGCCAGGGAGCGACGAGAACGTGTTTAGCTCGAAGAATCATTTTAATTTATCAACATTTTTTTTTTTTTCATTCTTTGATTGTTTTATCGAATGAACCTTGCCATGAATATAATAAAAGCGGCAACTTTATTGCCCTGTGTATGCTCGGTTGACAGTTTGCTACTACACTGGAGGATGAAGATGAATAGAAGTTATGGTGCAAACGAGTTGTTCATGTGTTGTGTTCTACTTCGACGTCATGTCACCGTCGTCTGTCTAGTCCATTCGCTATGGTGGCTGATAATCCCTATCTCCTCTTTCCTTTCGTCTTCCACCCCCTTCCCCCCCCCCCCCCCTTCGTCCGTGGATGATACGCATGACTCATACACATGACTCGGCGTCCGTGCATGATACACATGACTCAGCGCCCACTGTAAACCACATTAAAACAGATTCGAAAAAAGACGATGCTAAGTACACAATAAGCAATTCCGTTTCTTTGAAAAAAAAAAAAAAAAATGCAGCAAACTGTGGCACAGCCTTAGCAAAAAGGACAAAAAAAAAAAAAAAAACAACGAAATCGGACACTCCGGTTCCGGCAAATGCTTGGAAACGGAGGTTCGTGGCATCCAGTGTGCACGGGGAAAAGCTATTCCACAACTGTCGAAAACTCAAAAAAAAAACAAAAAAAACTCAAGTTGTCAAGTAAATGTGTAAACAAAACAAATCCAACAAAAAAAATATTCATATTTAAGTGGCCCAGACTGTGGCATTGCTCAAAAATAAAATTATTAACGTCTACGGCAACGGTCCGACAAATGCTCTGGAATGGAGGCTTCGAGCAAGCACTGGGAAAGGGGAGAAGCATGGCTGCATTGGTGGAGAGATGGAAGGGGGGAAAAAAAAAATAAATAAACAACAAATTGGACAAATACACGTGCAAATATAATTCGCACATGACAGCATTTGCCCTTCCGGCATGACTGAAACAACAAATGGAGTGAATATGGATGCTGCAACCGCCCTCGACTGCCCAGAACAACACTTTAGGAACTGCGACAGCATATTTATTAATGCATCGAGACCAAAAAATCATCCGACCACGCCGATGATATACAACTACATAACCCCAAGGCGGTCCTTGTGACATGAAAATGATACGCGTCACCCAACTAATGACAACAAAAGACGTCGCCGTATCAAAAAAAAGAAAGGCAAAGTGCAATACGATATGTTTATATTCCATTCAAATATATAACTATATATATCATACTCAAAAGTTTTTAGATATATGTAGAAATATATATATATAAATATATATTTATATATATATATATATATACAGGGTCACCAGCCTGTACGTACGGAGGTCCCCGGGCAGACCTCCGTACGTACGGGCCTTCGGGGTCCCGTACGGGGCCCAAACCCGACGGCGTTCGGCCCCCGCCAAAACATATTTCGGGCCCTAAACATAATTATTTATTTCTGAATATTTTTCTGGAAGTTCTCTATGACGTGAGGTACATGCCTATAAATTTTCAAGTCATTTGGCTGAGCCACATAAGAATTAAAAATTGCCAAAGATGGCAGTGTCAAAACGTGCTCGCCGACGTATTTTTTCACTTTTAACTTTTTGTTTTCACTTTAGTTCGGGGTGTAAACAATTTTATTAATTTTTGAAACTTTTTTAGTGGGTTTTGTATTATGTGAAGTACACATCTGTAAATTTTCAGGGCATTTAGCTATGCCAAAAAAAAAA